CTACAGCTGGTTCACACAACAGGATCACTTCGGCTCACGAAGACCAATGTACATGACTGTCCACACCATCGGCAACCTCTCTTCATGTACCAGGTACGTATCTCGTCACCCTCAATCAGACCTTGATTATCCCACACAGCGCCTCACTCCCTGAAGACCACCCGATCATCCGCTGTACCCCCTGGCGCCGAGCAGCCCGGCTATGGCTGCCTGCGCCCCGCTGCCCTGCAGCGCCCCACTTCACCTCTCGCGCCCCGTCAGCGCCCTTGGCAGCAGCGCAGCATCAAGCGAGAGGGCAGCAGCACTTCCGCATTGCCAGCGCTGGCCAGAATGCCTGGCCTGGGCTGCCTCACTTCCTTTATGGAAGTGGCAGCCTGTTGGATGCTGCGCGTGGCCTGGCTGGAAGGTTCCGGTAGCTTCCGGTTGGGCCTCAGACCCTGTGCCCAGGCCGAGACATACAGTTGAGGGCCTGGGCCCTTTACAGTTGGGCGCGGCCTGAGTCTCCGGACTTGGGCTGTTAGCTGCATTTGCGCAGGGCCCCCAGGTAGATGCGTCGGCTGTACTACTTTTCCAAAGGCCGACGGCCTGCTTCTCAATGTATCGGCCCTGCTTTGTGTGTAGGTGCCCAGGCACAACTTTCGTGGCCTGGGCCAACTGTACGACACAGCAATGTGAGGCTCACGCGTTCACTCAACCAACTGACGCGCTGCAAGAGCCTGAATACCCACATATGGAAATGTCGAATTTTGGCCTGTGACGAATATTCAGGCCCGCCTTCACTTAGGGTGGGCACTTCGCTTCCAGTTGTCCATGAACAACTTGATGACGTGCTCAGTCCTGGCAGTCTCTGGCATGGCGATTAGTCTAGCGTACTTAGTGAACCTATCCACTATGACGAAGATGTGCCTCTTGCCATTCTTGCTGGTCACAAGAGTATCCATGAAATCCATGGAGATACTCTGCCCTGGGCCAGCAGGAATGGGTAAAGGCTTGAGTAACCCAAGTGGAGCTTGAGTTCGTGGCTTGTCCCGCTGACAGACATGACAGGTCTCCACGAAATTCTTCACATCGTCAAGCATGTTAGGCCACCAGAATCGCTGTACTAGATTAGCACAAGTCTTTTTATAACCGAAATGTCATGTTGCGTCGTGGCACTCACCTAAAAACAAACTACGCAAAGTTTCCCGAGATGGAACAACTAGCCTCTTGAACCATGCCTTCTCAATAAAGAGCAACCCATCCACCATCAGAAATTCACCAGTGGTGGCCTTGTCTTTAGCCTGTAATTTGTTGATGATGTCCATCGTGATGGGATCTTCCTTGTAGGCTTCCTCCAAAGATCGAGTTACATCTTGAGATAGGCCAAACTAAAAAATCAGCGCACCTAGGTAATCTGCCCTCCTAGRCAACGCGTCTKCAACCTTGTTGTACTCTCCCTTCAAATAKTCTAGTTTRAAATCATATTGATCTATGACTTCAATCCAGCRTTTGAGTGCATCTGAGAGAACTGGTTGAGTCTTAATCCACTTGAGTGTCTGATGGTCAGTTCTCAAGTAGAAGAACCTTCCTAACAGGTAGTGCCTCCAGTGGACAAGTGTCTTGTAAAGAGCGTAGAGTTCCCTCTCGTAGGTGGACTTTGCCAACTTCTTTGAAGGCAATTTTTTGCTCATGTACTCGATCGGTCTCAACTTCTTCCCTTCCTGCTGAGCCAACACTGCGCCAATCCCGTATTCACTTGCGTCAGTGGTTATAACGAATGGCCTTTGCGGGTCGGGTACCATGAGAACCTCATGATGCGTGAGAGCATGCTTCAAACGTTTGAAAGCTGCCTCACACTCGTCGGTCCAGTCCCATGGTGTGTCGGGTCGAGTTAGATCAGTCAAGGGAGATGTGATCGTGCTATAATTCTTTACGAAATGGCGGTAATAACCACACATTCCCAAGAATGATCTGACCTCAGTCACTGACTGGGGTCGTGGCCAGTCACGTATGCTAGCCACCTTAGCTTCTTTGGGCCTAATCCCATCTGTGGATACTTCATGACCCAAGTACACGATTTGAGTGCGACCAAACTCACATTTCTCTGAGTTTATCTTATACTTGTGCTGCCGAAGGAGTGAAAGTACTGTGTCTACATGCTGAGCATGCTCCTTGACAGATCTACTGAAGATAAGTATGTCGTCGAGGTACACGACAACAAACTTRTCCAAGTAGTCATGGAAGATCCTATTCATGGCGTGCTGGAATGTACCCGGCGCATTGCAAAGGGCAAAGGGCATTACCACAAACTCGTACAGACCATACCTGGTTTGAAATGCGGTTTTGTGTTGGTCCTCTGGTCTTATGGCAATCTGATGGTAGCCGAATTTTAAGTCTATCTTAGTGTAGTACTTACACCCCTGCACCGTATCCAATAGGTCGTCGATGCGCGGTAGAGGCTCTGCGTTCTTAACGGTGATGGCATTGAGGCCTCTATAATCAATGCACATCCTTAGTGTAACCCCTTTCTTTGGAACGAACAATACTGATGAGCCAAAGGGGGAAGTGCTAGGCCGGATCCAACCCTTCTCTGTGAGCTCTTTCAGTAGTCGTCGAAGTTCGTCCAACTCGGCTGGAGCCATCCTATAGATTCTACCCTTTGGTGTTTTACTACCTGGGATAATCTCTATGGCATGGACAATCTCCCTGTCTACGACTCTTGTAGGCTCCTCAAACAGATTTGGGTACTTAGCGACGATGGTCTCTATCTCTGGGGGTGTTTTAACGGCCTCCCCTTTTGCAGAGACATAGACTAAGTATATTCCTTCCTCTGGGTTCTGTTTATTATAATTATAAAAGGTTCATGCGCATAAGCACCCATAGGAGTCTACTAACCTACTGGCTTTGTACTTGGCCAGTCTCACGGTTCTCCCACTAGGCAACTCGTACTTCAACACCTTCTTGTCCCAGTCAAACTGGGGCTTGGCAACCTTGAGGTAGTACATGCCCAATAACATGTCAAAGGGCAACTCGTCGCTCACCAGGAAAGATATCTTATGGTTTATCTCTCCTTCTGGGTAGGAGAAGGTGCATACTACATCTTTAACGTAGTCCTCCATCTCTTGAAACGGGAAGGGTACATCACCCGCTATAACTTTACTGGCCCTAAGTGTTTCCCGAGCTGGAGCTCGTAGAGGCCCCAGACTGAGAAGAAGAAAACCCACCCTTAGGAGGAATCTTCCGCGAGACCTTCGGGTTCTTGCATTTGAACTGTGTGTGACCATACTCACCGCAGTTAATGCAAGCACCACGAGACCAACGGTCCCGCCACACATCTTGATCCAGACCTGCTCTAACCCAAGCAGCTATTTTGTTTGGGTTAGCAGCCTGCCCCTGACTCCTTTGTTGACCGCCCTTGCCGCGGCCACCTGCCTTAGTCCTAACTATGGCGGCGAGGTTGCTACCCTCAGCACTCCCCTCGCCGTCAAACTCTGCACCCTCCACAAGATCAGAAACGTCATCGATCTCGGTTTGATTCCCATCGGAATCAACCATCATCAATCGACTACCCTTCTTCTTCCACTCTTGCGGAGTCTTCTTCTTTCTCCCATCCGTAGGAGGGGTTTGAGCTCCACCCAGCGTAGCCTCTAAGTCTAGGGCCTTCTTTCTGAATGACTCAAATGTGTGATACTCTCTACGAGCCTCGCTGGTTAATAGATTGCTAATGTCTGTGGGAAGACACCTCAGCAAGACCTGTGGATTGTACTCCACTCCCAGGACGACGATCAGGCGCTCTATGGCTGTGGTGAGTTCTCGCACAGACTTGTACTTTCTTTTATCAAGTTTCAAGAGCCCATCAGTGGCAATTTGTGCCTGCTGAGGGTTGTGCCAACGAGCCTCCACTAAGTCCATAAAGCTTTTTAAGGTGTGGGTCTGCGCCCAATCATGCATGTTCCTGCCGAAGCCCTTTGAAGCCACCAATCCATTTAACCAGCGGGCTGCTGAACACTCTTAGTAGGA